GGAGACGTAGGCTCTTGAACTAATCTGGCTGAAGAGCAAACGTAAAGGATCGAAAAGTGTAGAACCCTGAAAGATGCAGACCCAGCTGGGAGTGCTGGGAACATGGTCAGTTCGGCGGAGCAATTAGTCAAAACTGTCTGAATCGGCTGGTCGCCTTGTTGGTTGGCCGGTCGACCGGGGAAACTCAAAATAAATCAAAGATGCACACCAGAGTGCCAACTGCCAAGCACACAAACACATGCACCATACAGCCTATTTGGCCAAAGAAACGCAATGATAGAGAGACACACACAGAGGGGGGAAGGTGGTGGTTGGGTTGGTTGGGTTGGGATACGGTCGCCATGCCAGTGCCGGTGCAAAAGCATGGGATAACAAACAGGCCTGTTCGCTCGCACTGGAGTGCGGGCGCTTGGGCTCCGAAGGCCCCGGGCGTCGTTGTACAAACAGACGACGAGCACACAGACGCGCACACAAACAGGAGACATACACAAGACAAGGGGAGTAGACGGAGAGACATTTGGTCAGGTTTGATGGTGCATACGAAGGGGATGCGAAAGTCGGCAAAACAAAAGGCAACTTGACAACAGACCAACTCAACCCTGGGGATCTGGATTCACACGTCGTCTGCGGGCCCAACGGAACGGGACTCGGATTAGGGCATAAAATTGACACAACTTATGGTCTCAGGCAGGTGGGGACACAATCCGACCGCCCCCGTCTCTCCCAGGACCTGTGAACAAACACACACACACACAAACACACGCACACACACACGTGGGTGTTTGGTGCACCGAAGTAGTAGCAAAGTGGGGAGGAGTGAGACAGACGAGCAGCGAGTAGGGCAGAAGAGCAAGACGAAACTGAAAGCGGAGTAGTGCTGGCGACGTGGGGAGCATGAGCGTGGGAAGACAAAAAGGCGAAAGAGGAGGCTTGTACCCGAAGTGGTCGAGACGTTGCCGCACCGACGCGTCCGAGGGCGAGAGCAGAGCGCACGGGCAGACGAGCAATTCGAGAGGAGGACGGGCCGAGTGATTAATGCGAATGGGAAGAGTCATTTGTGAATGTGGCAGGAATGGAGGAGGTGACGAGGAAAAGGTTAGGCGCATGAAAGTGATTGTTGGGATTACTTCCATTTCGAGTGGAAGTGTTGGGTGAAGAGATTCGAAGGTCGCTTCCACCAGAAGACGACGGCC